GGAAATTGTTTTCTTGCCTTCAGTCCTTGTTTTTATTAAGTATACTTGATTTTATTAATATATTATATAATATTATTCGCAATTTCGTCTCTAATTCTTTGTGCTTCACTTTGCAAGCTAATGTCTGTTTTTACAGATCTATCTACTTCACTATCTACTTCGCTGGCGTTTTCTTTTTCATAGTCATATTTAAGATTATAGTCGCGATAAATATTATGCAAGGCAACACATACATTAAATATTTTCACAACATTTTTGGTTTGTACTGCAAGGTTCCTAATAAACACCGAAAACGAATTTTAAGAACCCCAATTGTTCGTTCAACTATATTACATGCCGAAGAATGTGTTTTGCTAAACGCGTGTTGTATAGACCGTGGTTCTGGACTTCTCTATGGTGTTAATAGAAAAGGTTCCAGAGTATACCCGGCATCGCCCAATAACCACGAATTGTGATCACCATCTCAATACTTCGTCATGAAAAAGTGTCTTGCATCGCTCATGCTCCATATAAAGGAGTCATGGCTAGAACCGAGATGACAAGCATCAATAGCTCTAATAACCATATTATGAACTCAAATCTGAAATAAATAAGTAACAAATTTTACGAAAACTTTTTTCCATATAAAATTAAGTACTTGTTACAATCATTGTATTAATGCTAAAATTTCCTTTTCGGTTAAAAAAAGCAGACCCGCAATACATCAAATCACACCCGGAATACCAAATTGTTCGTAGAAAGAACTTTTGGCGGTTCTTTTCTCGTGCTCAGGCATAAACAATTTTATCCACTTTGAGCAAAGTCTCCGCTCCATGGGCGTAATTATTTCTGAAATTATCTTGGAGGCGGTGCTCCTTCCCAAAGCGATGCTTGAGTCCACTCCTACAGACCTTTGATACCCACCTTCGGCGAGGAATCGCAGCGTTGCTCCCAACTTCAACACTGCGGGAATGGAGCTTCTTTGTACAAAAGGCTGCAAGTCTCTCAAAATCATGAGGAACGCTTGTTTATTTATTCTATAGAGTGCAATAAAGCTGTAAAATATAAATTAATAGTTTGAAATGGCGTTAGTATAAAACACTTTTTATACTACTAACGCTGATTCCGGTAATTCCATGGGATTGCTGTGATCGCGAAAAATTTTTCGCTTCACTTTTTCAGATGTTTGCTGCTCATTATTCAGCAAAATCGCCAATAAAACAATTGATCTCATGTTTATTTTCCGATCGGATTGTGGAATACCATTTCAATTTCGAGTCGGAATGGAATTCTGATTCCGATGCGATTCCGACTCGGATAGCAGAATAGCGCTGTACATGTTAATCAGCCCTATTCTGCATTTCGATTACGTTCCCGCATTCCGCTCCGCAAGAATCGAACTTAGGTATTCTGCATTACGATCGAATCGAAAGATGAAGAGAGAAAACATCTAACGAAATCAGTTGTTTGCCTAGGAATGTGTGAAATCGAAACAAAACAAAAGAAATATTTGCCACCAAACTATAGCAGCTTATGAAGTTAAAGTCCGTAAATATTTTAAAATAACTAAATATATCTTACATCATTGTAATTTAAAAATAAAATTTCGTTTGGGCTTTATTTAAGTGGAAACATAATTATAAAAATGAAATCCATAGCCGCGGCGTTATTACTTGAAGAGGAGAACGAGTCCCAGATTGCTGTTGCGGAAATTGAAAGGCGGAGATTTAGGGCCAGTGAAATTATAAACGTTGTTTGAGCACTCCACAACATTTGCATTTACTACAGAGTGGAAGATTTGAATGCAAATGAATTCCATTTTGAAAGCCGTCAGGAGGAGGGGAAGAACAAAGCAAAACACAAAATCTCCTATGACGTCATATCTCTGTCAAAATTTTCAAGACAGAGTTAGCGGTATCAGCGCCACCTTCTGTATTTGTTTCAATATGTACATGAATGTATTTAGTAATAGCCCCCGAATTGTGTATGTATTTTTTCCCACTCTTTACATAAATGAAGGGCCAATTTTGGTCTCTTTTATTTGCAAATTTACCTGCTCACCAGTGTTGCCAGAGAAAAATTTCGTTTGGAGCTAAAACGGTCGAAAAAAGAGCTAAATAATACTAATGATAGCTAAAATAAAGAGATATATATTGTTGTAAAGGTTAACCATTTATTGACGTAAGGTTGTTTTTAAATTTTCGGCGGTTTTAATAAAAACAACAAATCTTATAAGTTTAAGTGCTGAAAAAATCTTTTAAAACCAAAATAAGGTGCAAATGTATTGCGAATTCGTTGCTATGGCACTTATAACAGTGAAATAAAAATACTTTACAAACTGTTAGAATCTGTAATTTCAGATATTTGATTTTAATAATTTTTTCGCAAAATTTTTCTGGAAAGTTTTACTTCCAGCTCTCCTTAAAGGTAAAATTAGTAAGGTAAAACGAAATCCGCGCTACCAGAAAATGATTTTCTTCTAATTAGTTTTTGAATTCTTTAACCTAGATTCAAGATTTACGGTGGATACACTGCATCTCGAAATTTTCCATTTTATCAACGCTTAAGTTTTGGCTTATATATACCAAATACCACTAAAAGTTTTTGGAGCTAAAAAGTGCTAGATAAATTTGAAAAGAGCTAGGAGCTAAAACCCAATTTTCGTAGCTAAATAGAAAAATAAAGAGCTAAATCTAGCTCCAAAAGCACGAAAATGGCAACACTGCTGCTCACGTTTTCAAATTAATCACCCTCATTGCGAGAGTCATGTCAAATGTAAGTCTTTTTTTGTGGTTCCGCTTGCTTCTGCCTTCGGCCGCGCTAAGGGATTATAAGCCTTACTAAGGAGAATTCTCTTTTCTGTGTTGCCGGAGAAAAGGGTGGAAGCCATCCACTGTGTCTTTGCGCAGAACCCAGATCACAATTTTCAAAAAAAAGTGTATTGTTTAAGCCGAATTTGTTAATAAACTAGAACCTTTGTTTTAAATAAAAGTTTAATCCTTTGACTACAAGTTAAAGTTTTTTGTGCGTTTGGATACAACAACATAAAATCATTGTACAAATAACTAAACCGTTCCCAAGTGTTGCCAAGGGGCAACAAACATTCTATTTTGTTCATTCATTTTAAGCAGTGGATAAAAATATACGTATATGCGCTAAGTGCACATTTATCAATTAAAAAATTCGTCAGCTAAAGGCAACTAAATGCAACTCCATTTCAGCATTAAGAAACTAAATGCTAAAAGCAACCCTTTGAACTCCGAAAAATGCCACGATTCGAACATGGTTTAATGAGAAAAAGTGGCAGTCAAGCCGAATTTATACAAGGCGGTGTTACTGGCGAATTTAGATTACAATAACGACAACCGTATGTATTTTGTATGGAAGGTGTTATGTCAAATCTCAATTCGCTCCAAAGTTTACATGTATTTTGTTTTTTGCTTTTGATAGGTGTGCTGTCAAATCAGTAAAAGCAAAAACAAAATACATGTAAGGCGAATAAATCAACTGATTTTAAAACACCACCTTGTATAAATTCGCCTTGGTGGCAGCATTGATGTTTCGCATTTCGATGCTAGCTGCGTTTAAATGATCGCAGATGGAGATTTCATTTATTATTTTAAACTATTTTGATAAAAAAGTCCCGCTAATCCAACATCGATGTGATGAATTTGTGATCAACTCATGGTTTGTTTCATAATTACTTTAGGCAATTTATGTTTTATAGCACCGGCAAATTATTATATTACCCAAACAAATTTTCGGTTATGGTTAAAACAGTTAAAGTTTTTGCATTAAGTTTGTTTTTAATATATATGTTTTTAGGCTTTTTTAGCATGTCTTCTTCTCCGTGCGAATTGACCGTGGTAGATACGGATCTGAACAAGCGACTGGAACACGGTTGTTTGTCAGAAGCATACAACTTCGAAATCGCGTAAATCTGCATTTGGTTAACCCTTCGGAGGGCGCGCCGCGGCAAATTAGCAGCAAAAATTGTAATTTGTGGTTTTCAAATACTAATTGTAGTACCCGGCCACTGCCACTTAGTGACTTTGTAAGTTTTGAGATGCAGCATGGTTCACAGTTGATACGTTATATAGTTCAGTGATATTTGCATTTGAAAGTTGGTGTCTCATATATGCGGCTGAATTGCCGCGTCGCCCCGTTGGAAAAGTGAGTTTGTAATAGAGGTCTAAATCAAAATTGTTATTTTTTAAGTATTTTGTCATGTGTAATTTAAAAATTATACTTTGCGCACAAATTGTAACTATTATGATATCCTTTTCTTAGGTTTAAGAGAAAAACGATGTTTTCAAAGGATGAATTTTAGAACGAATTTTCGTCATCCCTTGTTAAAATTTGTTTTGGGGACGAACCGGTTTCGGCGTTGTGCCATCTTCTGTGTAATTTTCTTTCTCCCGGAAACAAGAATAACAAAAAAGGAGATATTTTTGTTGATAACGCTCTGTTGATGATAACGCATAAAAGTTTATTAAATAAATGCTTATAATATGTTTCAGTATAAACACAAATTTATTTATTTATTTAAATGTTATTTGAATGATTTGTCGACATAAAAAAAAATAGAAATTCAGTCAACCTTTGAAATGCACCTTGCAGCTAAATTGCCGCGGCACGCCTCTCTTGTAACTTTCAAAGCGCGCCCTCCGAAGGGTTAATGCAATAGCATGAACGCTCTTCGAAAGTGCTAAATAAGGCATTTTAAATGCAGTAAAAACGCTACATAAATTTGCCTTTTGCATATACGGATATTTTTATCCACTGCTTTATATAAACGAACAAAAAAGAATGTTTGTTGCCCCTTATCGAGAAACTTGGGTCCGGTTTAGTTATTTGTACAATGATTTTCGGTTGTTGTGTCCAAACACACAACCCGAATCCAAAAACTTTAACGTACACGTATAATGAAAGGATTTACCTTTTATTTAAAAGATATGATTCCAATTTCCGAGTAGTAGTGTATTAATAAAATCGGTTTACACTATGGACTTTTTTGTAAATTTTGATGTGGGTTCTCTGCAAAAATACCGTGGATGACGTATCTGGAGTTATATGCACTAGTAATGTTCTATACCTTTGACACGCGAAATCCCCTCTTCTCCAGCAACACAGAAAGGAGAATTCTACTTAGTAAGGGTTATAAAATGCAATTCCGCAAATGTTTCCGCAAGGATTGCAGCGTGTGGAACGAAAATTAGCGTTCTAGAATAAGGGTGTTAATAAATGATGTTATCGCTTGTCCTACTCTTCTAGAGCAGGTCAACTTCAATGTTCCTCGAAAGAATCTTTACAAACCTCTTCCTTTTTATGGGGGAAATTGTAAAACGGAGTATGCAAGAAATGCTCCTATTTCAAGAGCTTTAAATGACTTTAAGACAATCTCGAATTCTATCAACTTGATTTTTCTTTATTTATTATCTCTTTGATCTCTAAATTGCAGACTGCTTTTTGTTTTACATTAATCGTTTAAGTACCTAATTTTTGTCTATAGTCTGTAAGGAAGGTTTGTTTCATATGGCTTCAATAAAACTACAAGAAAATCATTGATATTGATCAAAAAAATTTGCTACTCAATTTTAGATCTGTATGTACTGTTAATTACGTAAACCTTATAGGTCTATGAATTTCGTTTGGCATCCTTTTACGATAATAGTCCCATCATGTTTCTGCAAAACGCATTCGATAAATGCCAATTTTTT